GTCTAATACGTAGAGTATATCTAATACGTAGAGTATGTCAAGTAGTATTGGTTTGGTCTTATCTTTATCTTACCCGGGAGGTTAAGGGTCGTCTCTTGATGGTGATGGTGAATCCAGTAGCAGAACCTCTCACCTTTGTCTTAGTCCTCCTGGAAGTCTTTCTTCTTCCATTAGACCGAGCTGATGTTCCCGGGTCAAGATAACTCAAGTCAAAAGACACTACTATCTCTTCCTTGACACCTTCGTAGACACCCTCCCCGTTCTCTGTCTTAACCCGGCCTGTTTCATCATCAAAATGAAAGAAGAATCAATGTCTAGCTAGTTCACTGTTTCATAAATCATAGATTCAAATCTTACTAGCAGAAGCTAAGAAAGGCGAGGTTTGTCGCGGTTGGACCATCTCCTTCCCGTCTTTGTTTAAGATGTTCAAAGTAAACTGCATATTTCCTTCGTGAGTGAATGCAATAACCTCACTGTCTCCCAAGAAATTGTCTCTAACAAACTTCTCCCATCCAGCCTTCTCCTTGAAGTAGAATCTCGGGTTCTTGGAGATTTTCAGTTTCCACGTCCTTCCCCAATCGGCTTTGATCTTCATCTTACGAGCGAGATCAGTTTCGGACAAGGATTTCACGATGTTATAAGGGATAGCTCTCTGTGATTTCACACACAAGATGAGGAACATCAGTGAACTTTCTACAAATCAATCAAGTATTTGAGTCCAAATCCAGAAGACAGTTACTTTTTTGAGACCCATAAAGACAGGGAACTAAAACTAAAAGATGAAAAACCAGTGAGCTTTTGGAGATACATAGACAGAGAACCAAGAGATTCCAACTTTTCAAACATACGACTTAAAGATCTAACTATTGTTACAGAGAATCACTGAGTTTTTTGAATTTCATAGAGAGAGAACCAAAACATTCAACTTTTCAAAGACAACTAAAAGATTCAACTTTCTTACACACATTTTTAAAGAGAACCAAAAAGATTCGATCTTTCCAAACAAAGCTAACAGGAAATTAAATAGCATAAACTGAAGAACATGAAGAGTTTTAAAAGAGAGTTACCATGTTTTCTGAAGATATATCTGCACCTTGAAGAAGCTTGCCTTCTTCCTTGCTTCTTTGCACCCAACAAAATCACTATTCTTGACCAT